CCCGAGCTGGAGGGGGACGGGGTTCCCCACCGCACCGGGTTAGGCGGCCCTGGCCACGCTTGGGCTGGCACAGCGCCTACAGACCAGCTTCAGGGAAAACGGTAACAGACGAGTGATGGTAATTTACGAGTAATGGTAAATTGCCAACCTCAGAAGGGAGGTTGGTACTAAGCACTGGTGGAGCGGGGGCCGTCGTTCCCCTCCACAGCCTTGGCTGATGCCACAGGGGCTCGGGAGCCCACTCTCATCCCACCAGGGCTCTGACAAGGTAAAGGTGTGTTTTTGTACTGCGGTCCCGCAGGGATGTGTCGCGCCACAAACGGGGCCCTTGCGTGACATCTCTAAGCCAGCGTTAATCTCGCACCGCTAGATCTCAGCGTGGTTTTCAGTTCCGAAGATAACTCTTTGGTCACGTAGTCTCTGCCCAGCGCTGCGAGGTGATGCCTGAGTGGCAGTGAAGCGTGGAGGACCTTCTCTGCGGGCATTACCTCCACATGCTCACAGTGAAGCGGCTTTCCTCTCTCCCTAGTGTTTGTCATTTCAGATTTCCACACAAGCCAAGGAGAACTAAAGAAGTTCAGACTGAATTCAAGCTCTTGCACGGAGCCCACGGTGTTTCACAGCAGTGTGATTCAGGGGAGGTGACGTAGCGGTTGAGTACAGGGACTTCTGGGACTCGGGAAGATAGAGCGGCTGAACCACTCAGAGCAAAGTCACCCCCAGTCAAACCCACCTCGGCTCAGCTGACACCTTTTTATCAGTGCCGTGCCAGAGAGCTTGTACGTCACGCACAAATCCTTGGAGAGAGCCACAGGAATCTCACAGAGAGGGAACCAGAGGATCAGTTGCTCTTTTGCTTCTGTAAAGGATCATTACAAAGGGTGGCAAGGCTTGGATACCGAGGGGATAAATTACAAACTGGAACACTTTCAGGTGCTTCCCTTTAATCCACTTTGCCAAGACTTCAGCTCTGAGAACTCCTTAGGAACGGGGCTTACTGTTAGACCGTTCAGTCTGCCAGAGTCTGGTGAACAAGCTGGTTCTCAACATAAAGTATTGCATCTGCTGCACCACGCACCTATTTTCAGAGCCATTGTTCAGATTTAGAACTGCACGATAAGAGTTTTTCAGTTTCTTGGCCAGAGGAGGGAGAGTGTACACCCGTCGGTTCCCCTGCGGTACAGTTTACCCTCTAGAGCACCTGCACGCAGCACCAACACACCAGAGATGAAGGCTCGTAGAATATTGTGGCAGGTGCTTGAGGTCATGGCAAACTCCTTCAGTGCAAAGAAATCTTAAATGTTAAGGAAGTGAGGAAAAGGAGCATGAATGTGGCTCTGCACAGGTAATAGTCTGAGAAGTCTTTGTGCTTCAAATGGTCGCGTATCCCTACTCCAAGACATCCCTGAGAAGAGGTTGTTGAGCTCAGTGGCGGGTAGCAAAATGAGCAGCGTGGGTTCACTTTGCTCCTTGATTTATGGTTCAGTTGATCTGTTAGTCCTATCCAGACTTCAAAGATTTTTTTGATGAGCCTCCTGGAAATGTTCCTTCCTTCGGTTTTTCTCCAATTTGCTGCCTGCACTGCACAGCCCACACAACCAAAGAGATATTTTTCTCTGGTGTTCCATTGCATTTGGTTGCATTATTCTTGGCTCTAGGCTAATGCTTCTAGCACTCTATTTTCATTTGGCTCCATCACCTCAAAGGCCATTTTTCCTCCCTGTACTTTCTCTATCAGCTTTTTGGAAACAGGAACAACACAGAAAAAAATGCAGTAAGCTTTGCAGTTTATTTCTTAATCATTTAGAAAAGGTCTCAGGATGTGTGTCTGGTTTTTAAACATTACTTCCTTTTTGTGTATCTCAGCTTCATTTTATTCTAGAACTCACAGGCTCTTGCCCATTTCCAGATAGCCCCTGGCAAGACCTAAGGAAATTGAATCAGAAGAGCACATTAAACTGTCACTGGAGGTGTAACCCTTCTCCGTATTCAGGTGAAAGAGTGGACACTGAACAGACCTTGCACTGAGGCAGGAAAAACTCTTGCACAACCTGCTGTGTTTTGGCAGGCAGCTCTTGGGGCTCTCAGGCCGGGAGCTGGAACCAGCCAATAACAAATGACACAAATTAACAAAATGGGGGAGGTGGAGGGGCAACAAAAGGCAAAGTACAAGGAGAAGATGCCTTATCGCAATGATTTACAGCAAAAAAACCAGCAAGGCAGACTTATCTGTTTGTACAGCTCTGTTGCCATCCAAGGACTTACTCTGGGGAGGTGCTTTGTCCTGCATGCACACAAGTGCCCAAAATGCCACTGGTCACTGCACACACGGCTTCGCTGAGAGAGTGAACCTACTGTTCAGATGGGCTTAGAGCAGAGGAGACTACAGGGAAAACAATTTAAAGTCTCCTCCTGTCACCACAACCGTGCTGGACCAAGGCGGTAGCCGATCAGTGTGTTCATCCAGTGTGACGCTGGCAGCAGAGAAGCACCAGACGACGAGCTCAGAACATAGTTCCAACTTGTTTTTGAAGGCAGCCATCCCTGCAAGAGCACTCAATGTGTGACCTTTAAGGAACTTGTGCCTTATTCAAACAAGCAGAAAATTGACTTAAGACTCTTACATGGAGCTCTCGTGCTGCAAGTATCATAAATAAGTAAAACCCCCAAACAACTGTTTATCTGCCTTGGCTCGTGCGCTGGCTTTGCATGCACAGCAGCCCCGTCTCGAGATTCTGCAGGGATATCTGTATCGAGAAGGGCTCTGCTACCAAGCCCGCTTTGAAGTCTGTCAACATTAGCACTCTAGAGATTAGGCTCTTGGGTTGGACGGTTTCTGTGCTCTGCTTCTACTTGAACAGAAGCTGCGTGAGGAATTTATGGTGCTGGTGGGAGGAGGTTTGCTGTCTACAAAAAGGGGAGAAGTTGGAGATCAGGAATCTGGAAGTTAGGCACAGTACAAACGTGCTAACAGGAGAGTGTGCGCTGAGGTTGGGCAGCTATGGTGAGGTGGCAAAGAAGGACCCGTTTTATTCAAGAGGCGTGCAGAAGTGCACCTGGTGGTTGTGGTAAGCTGCAGGTTATAGAGGAAAGGAAGTGGTTGACGGTACAGCGTAAACAGGCCCTTTTCTTTAGGCTTCGCACTGCAGACAAGCTGCTACGGCAGAGCAGCAGTGCAGCGCCTACGGGGGTTGCTGCTCAGGCACCAACCATGCGAGCGCTTGGGTCAAGAAGCAAGCTGCTATCACCGACTTTGCTAGCTGGAATGCAATAGGCTGTCTTCAACAAACTTGCCAATAAAAAAATCAGATAAGAAGACAAATATCATCTGCCTGTGTCAGCAATGAAATTGGAAGAATTTGGGGGCAAATCTGCTTTTTCACTGCTGCCATTTAGGATTTCCTGCAGGCTGGGAGAGCGGAAAGTAAAAGGGAACAGCCTGCTTGGCTGCTTTAGCTCAGCCCATAGGGACGTGTGTTGCAGGCTGTGGTTCGTGGTGCCCTTTTAAACTAAAGGGCAGGTTTACTCAGGAAGCAAACACAGAAGAAGCAGCTGGCTCATTCCCCAAAACCAGCAGGTCCAGCTGAAAGGATGTGCAAGACTGCTTTGAGCAGCTCCTTTCGCCTTTTCTGACCACTGTAATGACCTGACTTGCGTTAAGGTGACTGACATCTTGCACCCAGCGTATGATGCGGCCAGCTCTGTGGGTGGTGTAACCAGCCGGCAGAGACAAATGGACTTCCAGATACAAGCTTAACAAGAAGAAAAAAACAGTTTTGCAAACTGGAACTCTCCTCGTGGCTGATACCTGGAAACGGAAGGTCACAGGGACAGAGGACAGGAAGGCAGGAGGGGTACAACGGGACACAGGCGAGAGGTTGTGAAGGGTGCTGCACAGGTGTGGAGGATGACTCGGTGGACGCATCCTTCCAAATCCTGTTTACAAATCCAAACAGAGCTACGACACGTGGCAAGTGTTAACCATTCACTTTACTGGAGAATCCAACACGACAGAAGAGTAGTGGAACACTATCTGTATTTGAGGCATTACTCAGCTCACACACTGTGCACTCTGCTCGCCCCCGGGCTGGCCAGCACAGCTCCCTCTGCCACCAACGCTGGCCCAGCAGCACACAGCAGTGGAGAGACCCCGGCTTGAACGGCTTCCATCCAGCTGACAAAGCCGCTCTGGGGAAAGGACAAAAGCACTGATGTGGTTTGCACATGGGGACCGTGTGGTCGGCACCAGCTTCACCTAGAAAAGCGGCTTTGCTGAGCTGCGCAGGCTGTTCTTTGCCCAGTATGACATGAGTCTATGGTTGAAGATCTTTACTCATGGGACTAACCCGATCCTTCCCAGGAGCTGGAGGGCTCCTTTGGGTACCTGCACAGCCCCCCTGCTCCTTGGCGCTGCCCCTTTGCTGCCACAGGTGAGGCAGCGGCCGCCTCTAGTGGCCAGGTGCTCCGAGAGCCCTGGCAGGGTCCCCACCGAGGGCTGGGTCCTGACCCGTCCCTCTACTGAAAGAGCAAAAATCTTCCAGCTGAGCTGGTTACAAAGTGAAAGCCATTTTCAATGATTTTTCTTGTTTCAGACAGATCTGCTCTGCCATACCCTCAGGAAACCTTTGCCCCTTCTATAGTGCTGTGACCTGGAAAACTCACAACAGGGATGAGAGGGCAGTTCTGACTGGCCCCACTTCCCACACAGACCGAATTGCCTCTGTCCTCACGCAAATCCAGTGGTGTTGGAGCAAGAAAGAAAAGCCTACAAGGCTACAGCTCACATACCTGTAGTGGACAAGAGGGGAAAGCAGCTCACTGCAGTGTAAGATGTAGTTTTCTTCCCTTCTAAGCTGCGGAAGGGCTGTGATTGAAGTGCATTTTGTGGAATGGTGTTTCTGTATGATTTTTAGAAGAAATGCTGAAATACTACAAAAAGCCTGTGCAAAATAATCCATTTTACTTAAAGGATAACCCCCTAATTATGGCTGGCCTGCTTTAGGAGCTGGTGCTTGAAATGCTCCAACAGTTCAGGTGCAATCTTATCAGCGGTCAAGTTCTTGGCGTTCAAAATCCCTTCATGGGCTTCCTGGAAGAGCTGCTTCCCCACCGCTTCTTCCACCCGCCTGCGCCACTCTGCTAACTTCGGCCTCTCCTCAAAGAGGTCGTAGCCAGCACCAACAGGCTGCAGGAAGAGAGCAAGAGAACCCGGGAGTGAGTCAAACAATGCGTTTACCACGGATGGGACCAGAATGAATCACAGATATGCTTTTGGCTCAAGGCAGCAGGCAGTTGTCCCGTTAGGTGGAGTTCATCTCTGGTTCTTAGCCAGTAGGAAGCAAGTGCTGTCATCCTCAGCAGCTGCTGTCCCCTGGGACGTGCAGTGAAGGAGCACTGCCATGGCTAACCCCAGAGCTGTCTAATGCAGAACGCAGAGGTCCATGCACACCAACACGTCTCTTCCAGATATCTGTACTTTCTCTGCCTAGTTTATAATTTATCTTTTTTTTCCTGAGGAATTTTTTCCATGCTTTTATAGAGCAAACTGTCTCAAAGTAGGTGTTCCCTGGCAAACTCAATGAGGGTCAAAGTCAGAAAGGAACAAGATTTAGCTCCACTAAGGAGTTAACTGCAAGGAGAAAGACCTGCCAGTAAGGAGGTGGTGCTGCTGCAGCCACACCTTGGCCTGGCCTGCCCAAAACCCAGAGCTTGTGTATCCCACAGCGCTGGGGTTGATGCTCACCTGCATGAGCTCCACCAGCGCTACAAGGTCTGCCAGGGAGATCTCGCTGCCTGCAATGAAGGGCTTGTCCTGCAAGAACTTCTCCTCAAACTGCTTCAGGACAACGTTCAGCTCTTCAGTAACACTTTCCACTTTCTCTGGAGGAAGTGGCTGGGCTGTGAGGAGAGGCAACAGCACCTGGAGGGAGAAGAAACAAATTGCTTTTTACACATTTCCCTCCAAACTTAGTCCACACCCTCCCACTGCCGCCTTCTAAGGATCCCTCACCAGCCACGCACGAGAACAACTTGTACCGCTAATCTCCGCTGGCAGATTAAAATTAATGTCAAACATTAATTCCTGCCTGTCCTTGTCTCCTCCCTAGAAAGTCTGAAATTTCAACCACGAGTCTCCTCTCAAGGGAAGGCTGCATCATCTGCAAGCAGCTGCATTTTGTTTTCCAGCGGGAGGGTCGTTCTTTCCACGAAGCTGGGCAGAAGGCAGTGAGCTGTGTCTGGTGTTAGCTGCTCACCCAGGACGGATTTGCTCTGGATCTCACTGCGCACACAGAGCTGTGGCTGCACCATGATGTATTCGGGCCGCTTCGGTTAGGCTCGTCTGAGCAGCCAAGTCAATTCCAGATCTAGTTTCGTTCCTAGCTGTAGGAACACCTGGCTGTACAGTTGCTTAGAAAGGCCCTGCACACAGGAGGTAGTTCCTGGGCCACTGCACTCACAGCTCTTAGCACGTAGGTTTTGGTATATAACGGCCTTACCTTAGTTAAGAACAGCTTGCTCCCCTTCCCACGAATGTTGACGTGCTGCCATGACAGGTACTCATCAACCCTAGCCCTTTTCTGCAGGTCAGATGGGTACCAGTGATCAGGAGTCTTGAATTTCCGGGCCAGGTACAGGAGGATTGCAATGCTGCCCAGAGAGCAAGGCAGACCGGTGAGCTGATTATCTGAGATTAAAGCACCTCATCCTTTCTAATTCCCCCAAATTTTGTGCTGCTGGGCAAGCAGCAACACAGACCTGATCAGAGTCCGGCAGAAGTGCAGGACACACAATCGCCAGCGAGGCACAGCACACGAGAGCGATTGTGCTGCCTTGACCGGCTGCTTGTGGACAGCAATTATCTGATACATCAGCCCAGCGAGACAGACGTGGCCTGCTGGTACAAGTTACCCCATCAACATTTTTGAGTAAATATGAGCCACGAATGACTTTGTACCAAATCAGAGCTTTGTGTTTACCAAATCACCCATCCAGCAGCGGGTGCCTTGCGTCAGATTTACTGCACTGAACTGCAGCCTCCAGCTGAAGGCAGAGAGCAGGAGAACACACGGACAGGTATCGCAGCTTAGAAACTTTGCCTACATGCAAGCTACCTCCAAGCAGCAGCTCACAGATTTTTCCATGATCAATGCTGTTTGAGTTGCCTACATGAGAAAGCTTCTTTTGAAACATGGAGTTATTTTATGTACAAGTGGAACAGATAGGAAGGAGGCAAACAACTACCTGGACTGGAGTCCAAGCAGAGACCAAGCAGTGTACTGGTGGAATCCGAGCGTTAGGGTAAACAATACTGCAGTAGGGCTTTGAGCTTATTTGAGTCTCACCTCTCTGCTAAGGTGAAAGAACCGTCCCTTAGCGCAGGCACCTTCATCAGGACGTTCACCTTCCGGAACTCCTCTGTCCTATGCTGCCCTGAGGAGAGAAATGAGAAGTTTGACTTGGCAGTGATGCTCAGGACCTGTCTGCAAACACCCGAGGAGCCCATGGGGACCATTTGGCCTCAAGTTCCTGGCTTCGATTGTACAAATGCAGTCATCTTTAAGCGTATCAGCAATCAAAAAGTGCCACAGGGTGAATACGGGCTTTGCCCTATGATGTCAGCTTACTTGCTTATTGCCCGAATACCAGAACAACCTCTCGACAAAGGTCAGAATGGTTAAGAGTCCTTTCATACCAACAGCACTTGTCAACTCAGGGCTCCATCAGCTCTAAGTTTGTGCCTGGAGGTACCTGTCCTGTACAAACCCAGACTGGGTGTCGAGCGCCTTGGAGGAGAGGGATTTCAGTATCAGAAACATGATGGTGAGAAAGCAAGGGAATTTTTTTAGTCTTTTATTTTCTGGAAGATAATGTAATTTACATACAACTCTCTTTTTACTCCTCCAATGAAAATAGATTTTTGTGATTCCATGTAAAGCCATGGGTATTTTATTACAAGATCTATCAATCAGCTCATTATGTGGGTTTTGCATATCCTTTATCAGAGCAGATATGGATTTGAGTTTGCTTTTAAACTATCCGTCAGCCCCCCCCAAAGGTAGACAGAGTGAACCTGACAGGAGAAGGTGCTCTGTTGATCTGAGGTCTCAGATGAACATTATGTTTGAACCCAGTCCCAGGAGCCTTGTTTTATGTGACTTGTTCGTGCCGGCCTTTTCCAGCCCCTGGCTTCAGGTACATGTGTGCACCTCTGTATTCAAGTTTCTCTAATGTCTAACCCCATGCCGTGTCCTGCTATGTGAGTCACCCGAGAATCTCTGTGCCAGAGGAGATGCTCTGGAAATGGTTTTAGCATTCCCAGTACTTGGAAAACCTGATTTGTGACTATTCCCATCACTTGGCTCACAGCCTGTCCCCCCCACCCCCTTTCAAAAAGACACTGGGATTTCCCACACGTGTGCAGATTCCAGATCCTCGTGTGTCCCTAGAGTGTGATTTCTATCCATTCTCACTCCTTCCACCCATTTCTTTGAGACCTACCCTACTCTGGGAGCCCAAGAGCTTTTCTGGGAGGACACATTTAACCCGCCAGCTCAGATCTATGTTCCCTCACCTGGTCCTTGCGTATTGTGCAGTGATGGGTCCACTCGAGGGCCAGTGTGCCCATTACCATCTGCCGAGCAGCTGGATGCCGAGCTATCCCAGCTGCAGGCACCAGGAGTGCTTCCCCACGGCATGGGAGACGCACACACTGCAGGAATGGGATGCACCTCTAGCATTCCCGTAAGCTGAGTTACCCACCTCAAATCCACTGACCAACACCAAGCGCTGATTCCACAGGGCACAGAGCTCTGGGAAACTGTGATTTAATTCTCTTTCCTTCCTCTCAGTTCCCTGACACTGGTATTTCAGTTGTTCCATTCTCCTCGATGCTCTCATTGCTTGCCTGCCAGTCTGCTCTCCTTTGCACCAGTATCTCACCACAACAGTTTATTTATTGGGAAAGAAGGACGCTAGATGGACCTGCCCCCAGCTGCAAACAACAGCAACAATTTTTCCTACCTAGACAAGTCAGAAGAAAGCCGCAGTAAGGTGCGATCAATACACAGCTAAGGTGTGCAGGGGAACACCCAGAAACCAAACCACAACACGCCTGAGGTTTCTTTGAGTTTCAAGCTGGAGTCTCTTTTGGTCCTTTATCAATTTCAGCCCCAGGAGCCTTCTCATCTTTCATTGTTTTTAACTATTACTTACTGAGGCATTTTTATGCCCAACACATTGTCTTAATTTCAAATCCAGAGGAGCTCTGGAAAGGTTGAAGGATAGTTTTTACCGGCTTTAGTTGCAAAGAGAGGAGATAGGGATCTTTGGGCGTACTTTGGTGAAAACACATGATACCTCCTGGGCAGGTTCCTACCGATTATCAGTTGGGTTTGATACAAACTAAACTTCAAACTAAACTTCCCCTCTTCGTTTCTCAGCATTCAGATCCCTGGTGGCTGTGCTGTCTCGCTCCGCTGCCTTCGCTCTCTTTGCAAGCCTGTCCTCAATCCTCTCAAAATAATTTGACAACAAACAGCTTGACCCGATGCAACCCCCAAAGGGGTGGCTGGCTGTCCTGCCCTACCTGTACACGGGGGGACATCAGTGGGCTCGGCGCGAGGATGCTTCCCACGGGGCTGTTAACCCTTGCTGAGAGGAGAAAAGCTGCTCTGCAGCAACCACTGCTGCTTACCAGAGCGCAAAGTTTTCTAAGGAAGTTGAATTCAAGAGCAAGAACCGCGCACTTCAGCTGTCCTCGCCCATATGCGAATGTCCCATCTCTGTTGTTTTTTGTTTTCCATCTAAATGGGGAATCACCTCAGACCTAGCACATCCTGAGCGCTGCTTCTCAGAAGAGCGTTCCCTTTTTTTGGAGACCCATTTTCTGCTGGGGCAGGGCTAACTTAAGCGATGTCACACACCTTTGCAGAGGCGTGTTTTTTGCAGGGGAGCACAGCCGCCGAGACTACTACTTAAAAATCAGGGTTTCTTTGCAAAGTTAGGTCCTGTTTTGATCTAAGTTAGGTCTTGTTTTCGTCTTGACGTCGGGAGCCCGCTGCAGCTGGAGGGCCACCCCACCCTCTCGCACTGATGGGGCCGATTGAGTCACCGATCCCACCCACGGAGCGGCTCTGCGAGGGAGCGGGCTGGGAACGAGCAGCTCGTCCGGGAGCGGCGAGGGGAGCCCGGGGTCCCCCCGGGGCGGCCCTGCTAAGCCCGGGG